TTTGGGGAATGAACCAGTACATGGAAGATATTTGTTTCTTCTCGCTCTGTAACTCTGCGTTTCAAATAAAGATAAATCTTTCTTGAAAAGAAAAGTAATCCCTTTTTTCACATTTTATTATTATTGCTGTCATTTTATGATACAGTTCCATATTCCCTTATCCCCTCCCCAATTCCCTCCCCCACCCACCTAGTTCCTTTATATCATCACTAATATATAGTTCTTCATACTCAGTCATATGTCCATCTTTTCGGGCATGGACAATGGCAGAGAGTCCTGAGTCCTATTGTCAAAATATAATATAAACTGTTTCACTGTAAGTCCATCTTTGTCTGGAAGCAGAAATGCATACCACACTGCATCCTCACATCTGGATGTTAGTCTCCATTACATGACTACTGTACATTTCCTTAAATGCAAAGTCATGATACAAAATCAACAATAGAAAGAAAAATAGAAATTTACAATGCCATGAAGTTAAATGACATGTTACTAGATATGACCATCTCCATTGCACAACTACTATGCATTCCCTTAAATGAAGAGCCACAAAACAAACTCAGCATCTGAGAGAAAAAAGAAATTAACACTACCAAGAAGTTAAACAGCATGCTATTAAATGTATAATGTGTAGCTGAAGAAGTGAAAATCAAGAACCTTCTTGAAGAAAGTGATGCCACTGCATGGTCTACGAGTCATTGAATGATTTAATCAGAAGAAAGTGTTTTGAAGAGATGAAACCAATAGAAAACAACAAAACCCATGTGATATAGTTTCCGCTGATCTTTGTTGGAGTGTGTCTCCTCCCGACAATAAACAGATGGGTTTTGTTTTTTAATCCAGTCTACTAATCTATGATGTTTGATTGAGCTTATGCCATTTACATTCAGAGTTAATTTGGTCCTGTCATTTTAGGAATGGATTGTTCATTGATTTAGTCTTCTGTTGTCATTTTACTGGGATGTTCTTCCCGTTTGCCTTTGGTTTTGGTAGGTGCTATTCCTCTTCTCTGTCAAGAGAACATCTTGAAGTATCATTTGTAGGGCAGGTTTGGAAGAGGCAATTTCTTTTAACTTTTCTTTACTCTGGAATAATTTTATTTCATTTTCAAAGATGAAAGAAAGCTTTGCTGGATATGTTATCCTAGGCCAACAATTTTTTTCTTTTAGAATCTGGAATATGTCACTCCATTCTCTTCTTGCCTGTAGAGTTTCCTGTGAGAGATCTCCTGTGAGCTTAATTGGCATTCCTTTATATGTCAATTGATTTTTTTCACATGCACATTTAAGGATCTTTTCCTTATGTTCAATTGAAGAGAGCTTGATTATCAGGTGTCTTGGTGAAGATTGCATTTGATCAAGCCTGTTGGGAGTTCTGTGTCCCTCCTGGATCTTGTTTCCCAATTCTTTCTCCAGATTAGGGAAATTTTCCTTGATTATTTCATTAAATACATTTGCAACTCAGCTTCTCTTTCTGCACCTTCCGGGACTCCCATAACTCTTATATTTGGCCTCTTAATAGTGTCTTTCAATTCTTGAATACTTTTTTTGGCCTGATCCAGCTCTGCTTCCAGCTTTTTGTTTGTTTCCCCCTGGTGACAGGAGATATGTTCCAATTCTGAGATTTTTTTCTTCTGCTTGCTTCATTCTATTTTGGAGACTCTCCACTGTACTTGTAATTTGCTCTACTGTGTTCTTAATTTCTGATATCCCAGCCTTGATTTGCTTTACTGCTTCCTTAAATTCTTTGAACTCTTGCATGAGCTTCTCATTTTTGACCAGAATCTTTAAAATGAGTCTTATGGATTCTGTGTCCCCCATTTTCTCGATGTCTTCCTTAGTGAACTCTGAGGTTGGCCAAAGGATTTTGCTCCTTTGCAGGGGAGTTTTCAGTAAGATTCATTGTGCCTTTGTCTCTTCTTTTGCTCTTGATCATTGTACTTCTAGTTAGCAGAGTCTTCTTCTTGGGGCAGGTCCTAAGCTGTGTCACCCACAGGTCTACAATGCGATTTTACTTATTACAGTTGGTACACCACTTTTTTGCTTTGCAGCCACTTGTGCCACAACCTCCAGCGAGTTCCAGGCCTGGATTCTTATGTCAGATATCCACCGTGATCTCCACAGCCCCAGCTCTTGGCTCACCGCTCTCCACCTCCTGTGATACTGTGCTGAGGCTGCACCAGTGTCTCTGCAACCTTTCTCCCTCTTCCGGTTGGAGTGGGTTCCAGGATTTGAGACACCAGGTGTACTATCTAGTTAGGTTGTTGGTGGTGCTGATCTTGTCGGAACTTGTTGGACGTTAGGTCTGGATGCCACACTGACCTATTTTGACCGGTACGATGCCACAGTCGGTATTATTTTCCTGCGGGACCTCAGTGAGTTCTCACGAGCTCAGCCCAAGCGCAGTTCACTGTTTTCACTTGCAGTCCCAAAGCTATTGCCACAGTGCACAAAATGGCGCCCGACGTGCTACCACAACAGTTCTTGATCTGCTGGCTGACAGATCCGAGGGTTACCCAGACCTGCCCTGGATGGAACCTGTAGAATGCCACGTCATTGCAGTTCACTGAGTCAGAAATGAGCTCACTCCCTCTTAGAGCATGCTCAGTCCTTTCCCTTGCCCTTTCCTCCTTACGCAAAATGGTGCCCAATTCAGCTCTAGGGGGCTGACTGGGCTATGAAATTCACTCTTCTCACACCACCTGAGATTTATTGCTCTGTCTCTGCTCCTGGCCAAATCAAACGGACCAGCAGGACAGATAGTTCCCTGTCTGGGTTCACCTGGTGAGCACCCAGTGAAAGTCCCTTCCCACCTGGTTGCTGGTGGAGTTCAGGCTGCTAGTGGAGTTCAGATCGCCGTGCTGGAGTATCAGTCACTGCAACACCACACTGCTGTGCCCGCTGCTTTCCTGTGTCTGTCAGTCTCCAGGTACCCCTCTGCTGTTGTACTCACCTTTCCTATTTCCTGAAAAATGTCCTCTCTGCTTCATCCTGATTAAATGTTTCTCCATCCGTTTAAACGTGTCCTTACCCATTCCGCCATTTTGATTCTTCAAGTAATCCCTTCTGAGCTGTTTTCACAGTGGCACCAGTTCTGTCTGCATTCATGTGCTGTGTGTGGATGCTCTGTTCATTTCCTTGCATTGACTACTGGAGAACAAGAACACGAGATAGACATTCCAGGGTCAGGTGGAGGTGTCAGAATCCTGGAGGTCAGAAGCCTGCCTGGGTGGCAGAGGCTTAGAGACCTGTCAGCACAGAGAGTGACACTGGAGCTGGGACCAGAACGAGGCTACCCAAGAACTGACCTGCAGTCGCTTCCACCTTTCAAGGTCAGGGGTGGGAGGGAACCTGCGGAAGAAAATGAGAAAGTGGCAGCTGGGAAGGTGGGAATCCAGGAGGCTGCCTAACTGTGTGTCCAGCTGCCCCTCATTTCTCTATAACTCAGTGGCCCCTGGCACCCTATCAGGAGGGAGCCCAGGAGAAGAAGCAGGTAGTGCAAACTGCATGGCTCCAGGCCAGCATGGAGGGGTGCACTCAACAGGTGGGGAGCTTCTGGGTGCCAGTGTTTGCCAGCCTAGAGTTGGGTTTCACCAGAAGCAAGTTAAAAGGGCTCTGTGCAGCCAGGCCCTGGCCCTGCTGCTTGGGCTGAAGTCACACAGACACCGCACGACCGCAAGACCCTGGCAGCCCTGTCTTCCTTCCTACAAGCCTTCCATTCATCTGGAGCCAAGCATCCGGTTGCTGGTTCGCTGTCTTGGGGAGGCTGGAGTCTTGGGGTGGGAGGGTGAGGGCAGGTGGTGGTGCGGTGGGGGAAGGTGCCTCAATGGATTCCAAGGAATGAGCCGGTAGCAGGCAGAGTCACATGAGTGGTGCACCTTTGTCCCCCGCACAAGGACACCCCACATGCCCTGCAGCTAGACAGGTCTGGAAGCTCTTGGGGAGGTAACGGGGTGGGTGCCCATCGGGTCCCTTTGAGCAAGCCCTTGTCAGTGACTTACCTCGGAGGGGGCATTTCCAGAGCTACTCATAGGGAGGCATGCCATTTTTCCTGCCAGATGTAAGGACGGAATACCATGAGGAATGTATGTGGGAGATGGATAGTAGAGCTGCCAACCCTTGTGCCATGGATGGGTTTGTGTCGCAGTCGGAGACAATGGGTCTGCACTCACCCAGAGCTTATCTCCTGACTTATAGTACAGCCTGGGGGCTGCAGGGCAAGACTTAACAGGTGCCAGGATGATGTGGGTTTGTGCACAGAGCTCTGTCTGGGTGGGCCCAGGCCTGGTCTGCTCTTGTGGGGGGATGCCACAGCAGTCGGGAGACCCCGCATTGTCACTGCTCTGTGGCTTGGGACCACTGCGAGCTCCCCGTGTTCTCTGGTGATGTTGGGAAGCAGGGTCTGGGAGCACCTGCCACGGATGACCCTTGCCTTGGAGGCATATTTCTGAGTGAATCATAAGGGTTACAGGGGAAACTGATGTTGGTCAAGGAGAGCTCTGTATCCTGCTCCCTGCAGGCATGTGATGTGTGACAGGTGATGCGGTGCTGCAGGGCTGGAGCCGGGTCCTTGGAATCACAGTGGCTCCCTCTGCACTACAGGAAGCTTCATCCAGTGCCTACCTTCTCTGCTCACCCTCCCACCTCCCTGGCCTTTCCATCCTCCTTTTGAAATCTGGAGGTGGTATTGCAGCCTGGACTATAAGGCACCTGCTGAAGAGTTACTCATTTCCCCGCAGTTGTCCATGTCTGTAGAGTCATATACTCCATGATGATGCTTTGGCCACAGAAGGGAGGCATGTGTAAGGGTGGTCCTAGGTTTGTAATGGAGCCAGACATTCTCATCAGTCAGCGATGCTGCGGCTTTCCTAGCATTACAGTGCCAGGCGGTGGTACTGGCAGAAGCAAACCGTGGCCAGGTGCATAAAGATAGAGCAGGTACGTAAATTACATACAATGTGCAATTTTGGATACTGACAATGGAAATGACTACGGGACTGGTTTATGTTTCACTGTTCTTTATTTTTATTGTCATTACTGAATGTACACTCACTCATAAGAAAAAGTATGTTCTAAGAGAATACACCGCATCCACGGTCTCGGATGTTCCCTGTGGGCTTTCTGGTGGCATCAGGAAGCCACCTGGAGTGGCTGACCCTAACCATCTAGGCAGAGCCACCCTCCAGCAGAGCCAAGGCTCGTCAGAGCTTTCAGAGCCCAGGTAGTGAATGCTTCCATCAGTGGAGTCAATCGCGGTTCCACGGAAATGTCATGTATCCACCAAGTCTTCCTGATGCTTTTGGGTACCAGGCACAAAACAAAACAAAACAGAAAACAATCGCCAGTACTGCCCAGCATTCAGTAAGGGAGTGATCTCTGCACTTACACCTGCATGTGTGTGAGTGAATGCACAGATCTCAGGAGCTTTCTGTAACAGTCGGCAGTAACAAAGCACAGGGAGAGAGGTACCGTTGACAGTAACAACCAAAACATAAAATACTTCGGGGTGAAGAAGAATGTCAGTCCTGTGTGGGAAGAGACGACGTTGCTGAAGGATCTGATGAAGGATCTGAATGCATGGAGGCCATGAGCAGGCCAACGCTCTGTGGAGAAAGGTGCCCTTCTTCCACAGCAACTTTCTCTCCAAGTGGTTCAATCCGAACACTTGGACAAGTCTAAATTTAGTTTAGACAAATAGGTGGTCAGGGATGGCTAAGAAATGTTGACAAGCGGTGGGCTCCAACTAAGACATGCTCTGCCCGGTTTCCTGAACTGCAAAAATACATTGGAAGTTCTTCTCAAACTTGGCCTCGAGTTCACTCAGGAACACTCCATCCTGAAAAGGAATAGATATGACATTAGCCACTGTGGGGCTCCGCTCCTCACCTCCCCCGTGGGCATGAGCCCCACAGCCGGAAGGCAGGTGTGCTCTGCTGTTCTGGTGGTTTCTCTTTGGAAGGTGGAAAAGCAGACTCTGCACCCCTTCCCCAAGACGCCTGGAGCCAGGAGTGCGGCAGATTCTGCGTTTTGGAGACTTGGCAAACATTTGCACATGCGCAACAGGATGCACTGTTTATACAGGCTGAGTTCACACACAAAAATTCATTGATGTACCGTCTGTGCCTTCCACACGGCCCGTAGGTAAGTGTGCACGCAACTTTTAATAATTTAATGCATGAAGCAAAGGTTTACAGTGTGGAATTTTCTGAACATTTGGAATTTCACATGTTTTGGTTAGGAATACTCAACTCACAAACTTCAGGCTAATTCCTGATGGGCAGTTCACGGAGAGATTTAATTTTATGAATTTTAGATATTGGATAACTTTTATGAATTCATGGATAGATGTCACTTTTATGAATTCTAGATACTAGATACTAGCACATTTTAAATGTAATAATGTGATAGCACAAAAGTGTCTAACTTTAATTCACGTTTCCCTTGTACCTTGACCTCACCCCTTGGGAATGCCTTTCACTATTTTTGCTATAGGACTAGGAAATTCAGGCATAAAGCAAAGCAGGATTTGAAGGTGGGAGGTGGTTGGTGTGGTGTCGTCTGCAGGGCCTGTCCCTACCGGCTGGGAGGTAGACTAGCAGGCTCCGGCCTCGCCCCTCAACGTGTCCTCTTATGCCTCCGCCTTGATGACTCTATGGAAAAGGATCAGTCTAGCCCCACAAGACTGCAGCCACGAGACTGCAAAGCCATGATGACCTCTCTAGTTCATCTCGAGCAGCTGGATTCCATTTGAGACACTTCACAAGAACCCCTGGCCTTGACCAAACAAAACAGTGACCATGTCCATCTATGGTGGCCTCTGGTCCACTCTGCCATCACAATGTTCTCAGGAAATTGCGGGGGCTTCAGCCACCGACCAATCACAGGAAAGCTGCCAGCACCGTGGCACACAAGCTGGGGAGCACGGCTCAGCCCCAGCTTTAGTCCCTAAGCCTTGCTGCCCTCAGTCCCTCAGGGCATCACGGAGTGCAAAATCAACACCCACTTTCTGTCACCACCGTACTGGCATCAGCCATGGACTGGCTGCTCATGGGGCAAGCAAACCCAGGCTTTAACAGGGCGTCCATGACAGCATCCCTTCAAGATGGGAAGAGCTGATTGCCCTGAAAATGCCCTTGTCTTTCCTGTGGGGGTGAACAGCTCTGCTGAACGCCGAGCGTTCTGCCTTGGCGGAAATCTCCCATCTGTGAGAGAGTACAGGCAGGGGCCTTAGGTCCTGCTGGCAGTGACGCTTTCTGGCTTGGGCTATTTCCCCCCAGAGCTTTCTGGATACTTCCAGGTTGTCATTATCACGTTGGCTTGTATGAGCTTCTCAACTGACGAGGGCAGTTGAAACATTCGCTCTATAGAAGATGCAAGGTAGAAAGGCCATGACGGAGAGCAGGGACGCTAGGAGCATCACTTACGCTGCAAAATGCCTTGAGGTTCTGAAAGATGAGGCGCATGTCCTGCACGAAGCCCCCCACGTGCGAGTACACCTGACTGCGCAGCTTCTTCTTGATCTCGTCTAACACGGGCCCCTGTGTGCCCTGGCATGGCTGGGTGCCCTGTTGAGATCAACAAATACAATGGGAGGGCTGGGGGTGTGGCTCCACGCCTGCTTTCTCTAGACTCCCAGGGTGGGTGGATGAGGAAAGGGCGTGTGTTCCTCCCCCTCCCGCCTCCCTTGCATGGCTGAACCCTGACACTCTCCTCCCCCCGTGTAAGAGCTGTTGGGAGGTAACCATGTTGTGAGGGTGGAGCCTCCCCATTGGCTTGGTGCCCTTGTGGAGACCCTCAGGAGCTCCCTCCTTCTTGGTGCAGCTAGCTCTCTCAGAGGAGGAGCCTGGGTTAAGCCCAACCCCACTGGCACCCTCATCTGAGCCTTGCAGCTTCCAGATTCTGAGAAGTCAAATTATGTGGCTTCAGCCCCCCATCTACGATGCAAACTTGAGATCTCATCTAGGATGATTTGTGATAAGACATATGAAGGAAGACAGTCACCCAGAAAGCAGAGAGAAAAGCTGTTTGTACAATTTCCAATCACAAGTTCACAGCCTTCAGGCTGTGGCTGCTACTTACATAATGCGGTTTCGAGGCAAAAGCGGTACTTTCTGAGCACTGGTATACCTTCAGGAGGAGATACTCGCATCTCTGTAGAAGATGAAGACAGTGAGGGAAAGGCCCCTTGCATAGAGCTGCTCACCCACACGCCCAGGCAGAACACAGCTTCCAGGCTTGCGGACTCTTGGGAGCACACATGGAATGCGGGTCTCCTTTGAAGACCACACTCTGGTGTGAGGTCGTGGGATGGAAGCCCAGTGAGGGCCTGTGGTTTACCTTCAGGCACAGGTTCAGCCTGCTGTCAGACTGCGCTCCTGCCCTGTGCCCGGCAAGGAGTGGCCTCAGGCTCCTGGCACCACTCACCAGCTGCTGCTCAGGCTTCATCTGCATCTGCAGCACCTCTGATTCCTGATGAAGTGGCTGTTTCTTCCCACAACTCTGCCACATGTCTTTGGTCCTGCAGTTGAGGCAACTCCATGGGTTGCTAGGAGGTTGGACATAAGTGAGCAAAGACAGGATCGGTGAGTCAGTCAGGGATTCTGTGATTGCTGAAGTCCTCTCCTCAAGACTGACCTGTGGTTTCCATCTTTCTCTCACTCTCCTCTTGGAGACCCTTGTTTTCTGTAACTAGAGACTCCCCTCCCATCAAGAGTGGCAGCACGAGTGACAAGCCTGTTGAGTGACATGCCTAAGGAGCGATGGAGTCTCATTCACCTCCAAACCTGGAGTTTGCATCAGAGCCTCTGGGAGTTTGATAACGATTCCTTTTTGGCACAGTCAAGTCTTAGAAATTAGCACCTTAAGTACTGGTGTCTTGGGCCATGATGCATCAACCTCATCTTTGTCAAACTCAGGAGAGCCAGGTTTCTGTTTTTTTCACTTTTGGCAAAAGCCAAGCTATAGGCATCTTCTACTCTGACACTGCCTTATTCCATTCTAGAATTTGTCCCGTAAAACCTTCTTGGAAAGGAAACCTACAAATGAGTTAGACACCTTCCATTTGCCCTAAGAGTCATTCCCCAGTGTCTCTCCCCTGCTGTCTGTGCTGTGAGGCTTTTGAAAATCAGATACAAAATAAATAAATATATAAAAAAAAGAAAATCAGATACACATACAATAACTCATCCTTGAGATGTCACCTCTCCCAGGATGTTCAGTGCATGTTCCATGGACCCAGACCAGCGTGGATCTGGGACTATATACAGGCTGATCAAAACGGCTGTTCTGTCTTCTGCCTCTATAGTTTGTCCAGTTCATCAAAGGCATGCATTTGCACTGATGCCCTCAGATGGCACCCTGGGGGCAGGTGGCTTACTTGATCCCTCCCAACATGGAAGGAGAAAGCTTTGACCTCACCAGGACAGATGCCTTCCTCATAGAGGCCATTCTCCTGGCCACAGCAGTTCTACCCAGAGCATCATTCTCAGGACACCTCATCGGTCTCCATGGTAACCTACACAGCATCAGCCTTGTCTGAAGCAGGGGCTCACATCCACAGAGTTCACAGACCTTACCATGCTCCTTGCGATGCAGAATCAGCTGACTTGACAGATAGTGGCACAGCCTTCTGAAGGCCCTAACAACCATGCTTGCAATGTTGCCACAGCAGGTCAGGATGCGTATGTGTGTGTATGGTAGAGGGTCGGGGAGAGGGGAGAGATATGGCTTGAACCAACAGCCAGGGTAGGATGGTGTCACTGTGTCAGTGTGTGAGGTTCTAGGAACCATCTGAAGAGACTCTGCCTCTATGAGTCTGCTGCTATTGGCCACGTTAGAGCTCTGGGAGATCCTTATGGATCCTCATCTGATAGATCCTTGAAGCTCTCACCAGGACCCAGAACCCGGCAGGCCAGCTGTGAATGATGCAGGTGCTGTACCAGGAGAGGGTTGGGTGGGGAAGTGGCTTACTAACCTCTTAGGGTCTATATGTGAGATGTGGCAGTCCTGGTGGTAGGATCTTGAACAGGTATCGCAGCAGTAAATCATCCCCCCTTGGCAGCACATGTCACACTCATTGGAGTTCTCTGGCTGAAAGAGGAGATGGAATAGATGTCTTGGGGATTAGTGAGACCCCACAGGTCAACACACTGGGATTCTAGGACATGTGACCTTGCACATGCCAAGGTGACACCTGGAAGTCTCCAACCTCAAAAGGAAAGGATCCACATCGAGTGGAGATTTTTCAAGACCATTCTGTTGTGCGGTAAAGTTCAGGAAGTGCTGGCTCTGTGTCAGCAACAGCAGAGGTGGGGCTAAGCTGAAGCCAGGAGCTAGGAACCCCATTTGGTCTCCCATGTGACTGCAGAGGCCCAAGCATGTGGAGCGTCACCTACTGCTTTCCCAGGCACATTAGCTGGGAGCTGGATCAGCAGTGCAGCAGCTGCAACTCAAACTAGTGTTCATATGGGATGCCACTGGTGCAGGGCAGTGACAGGACAGAAGTTTTTATGAAAGCTGAGATTCAGACCCAGAATAGCTTAGAAATAGCACCAAAAATGAACTAAAAATCATCTGAATCAATTATTTTTTGGTTGGCAAAGCCTGGCCTCAAAACATAGTGTGTTATCTAGCTACATTCATCATTTAAATTGACTTGTTCCAGGGCAGTTCATGAGAACATACTATGATGGAGTCAACTTCTGTGACATTCTGTGTCCCGTAGTTCCATCCATAAGCCTCTGAGCAGTTGAAGTGGCAGGCCTGGGTGCAGACCCTGTCCTGGGAGTTCTGTGTGTTGAGGTGAAAGAACCAGGGTACGAAAGGCATTCTGCCGCCAACTGTGAGCATGCGGCAGGGGACAGCAGTAGGACTGAGATCATGTGCTTGGGGAGAAGCCCGGACTCTCACAGGATCACAGGAAGGAGACTGTACTTACATAAGGGTCAATAGAGATGCTGCTGTCAGACTGCTGTGTACGCTGTGGAAAAGAGAAAGACTGAGTCACAATATTGGATATGACCTTTCATGAGTCATAGTTTCATGAGTATAGTTTTAAAAGAATTATTTTTAAAGATTTGTTAGACTTACAGAGGAAGAGGGGCACACACACACACACACACACACACACACAGAGACTCGTCTGGTTCACTCCCCTATGATCACAGCAGCTGGGACTGAGCCAGCCCCAAGCCTGACTCCTGGGACTCCATCTGGGTCTCTCCCATGTGAAGTAGAAGCCCAAGCACCTGGGCCACCTTTCGCTGCATTGCCCAGGTGCATCAGCAGGGACTAGGATCAGAAGTGGAGCAGCCAGAACTTCAGCCAGCACTCAGATGGCATGCCAGTGTTGTAGGCAGCAGTTTAACCTGTGACACCTGAACAGAACATTTCAGTCTTTTGTGCCACAGCCCTCCCTTGGTTTCATTTTGTATCTGTGTTTATGTGGCTGGGTGTCGAACTAGAGAATGGAAAGCATTCATTACTGTGTTCATGGAGGTTTGGCTTTAAGTAGGTTTCAGACCTGGTTCTTCAACCCCAGGTGCAGGCCTTTGGAGGCCATGCAGGGAGCCTGGCCTTGGTTCCCAGACTAAGCCACGACACTGTGCTGGTCCTCCCACGTGGGGGCCCTTGGCCCTTTTCCTCTAAGTTAGGACCGTGGAAACCAGGCTGGGTCACCATTCACTGACTCTCATAACCATTCAGTTCAGAGCAATGCAGCAGCCCCCAAAAGACCTCCTCAGTGGGATGCAATGCTGAGGACCACAAGTTCCCAGAGTCTCCAGTGCTCACAGCTCTTCTTCCTCAAGATGGGACCTCTCCACATTCTCCTGAATCCCAGCTACATGGACCCTGGGTATCTGGGATGGCTTGGCCTCCCTCCAGCCTAGAACAATGGCTACCCCAGCTCTTACCTCCTGCCCACAGCACTCAGTGTGACTCAGACCACACAGACTGGAGATGATGGCCATGTCACTGCCCACCTCTTTGAGTGGTGCAGAACTCCATTTTCCCCCAGCCCCACCATGTATTATTATGCCAAGTCAGGCAGGAGGCTTACACAATTCAGTCATATTGGCCTGCTCTGCATTACCACTGATCAGCATAACACCTGGCACCTAATAGCTGCTCCACAGTTGCTTGTTGAATGGATGCATAACACAAGAATCAGAAACCAAGGGCTGGGGTGGAAGACCCGGTGGAGAGACCCTCTGGGAGCTGAGGTGGTTTCACCTTTGGAGCAGGTGCTTAGGGCATGGCGGGGGAGCACCTGTGATAAAGCGAAGGAAGGGAGATGACCAGCTTTGGATTAGCCTATGCTGAACTCACTTAATCAATAGATCAAATCACTTCTCTCCAGAAACCTTGGTGGATGCAGAAGCCTGTCCCTGCATCTCTAGTTATCAAGTCAGTGAAGAAAATGGCCCCTGGCCAGCTTTGTGAGGACTGGCTTCCTGGTATGCAAGGGATGTGGAAGGTTACCTATGCCACAGGTTATGGAAATGGAAGTCCTTCCCTGACACTCCTGCACCACGTGCTTGCTCGCTCACCTGCAGCCTTGGCGAGGACAGGCAAGGCAGTGCTTTCACTACTTTCTCTGGAGTCCACACAGCATGGAGGTCGCTGGTCTGTGAACTCCATAATGGCTCGCTCACACGGAGGGAGTCTCCACCATCACTGATGGCATGGGGTCTGTAGAGCCCCTCTGATAGGCCGAGGTCTCTTCACAAAGGAGAGACTGCAGATCAGCAGGCTTACAGGGCACTTCTGCTGCAGTCCTGTTCTTCTCAGAATGTAATAAAGCAAAAGCATTTCCCGTGTGTGTGTGTGTGTGTGTGTGTGTGTGTGTGTGTGTATACAAGCTTATGTGCAGTGCAGGGAAAGTATGCATGAAAGGCAGAGGATGTGTTTTTGTTGTTTGGCCACTGGGTGATGTTCGTTCCCTGGGGAATTCTACATTAGGTCATTTAGTGTGATCATAGGATGTTCCCAGCGAAACAGCTGCTCCTTCCCTGTATGTATTTCAAACCCACACTTGCTTTTTAAACTCCACTTCCATCGTCTGTGCTTAGCTCTAAGAAAGTACGACATTTCAGATCTAGTGAAATGCGACAGACTGGCTCAGCTGGGAGCAATCAGTCCGACGGGAACAGGATCCCTGGAACGGTGGGCAAGAATTCGGAGTTGACAAGCAGACACGACAACGCAAGGCAGTTGTATGTGAGTGAATTTTGCAAAAGCAAGGCATCAGCTTATATATAGTAGATGATTGCAAAGGGATGTTTCTCTTTGTTTATTCATGTGGTTACATTTCACAAACAATTATTCCAGGGAGGTAAGTGGGTCTGCTGATAAAAGATTGTTCTCTAAC